CTGAGATTCTAAGTTATATTTTAGCTGCATTAAATTTTTTTTCTGGTGGTTTTAGGATCTGTTGTTGCTCGGTATGAAGTCAGTTAAGCAAATCATTTGTAGGAAACTGACAGCTAGATGTGCATTCAAAGGCATATTTTTTCTTTTAACTTTTTATTAATGGGAACTTTAAGACATTTCAGAAGTAGAGAGAATGGTGTACTGCACACCCATGAGCCTGTGAGTCATCTTCAGCATTTCTCACCTCCGCTAACTCTGTCTCATTCTGCACCGTCCCGCACGGCAGCCACGGGGGCTGTGGTTGTTGAACACTTGAACTGTGGCCAGGCCCAGTTGAGAAGAGCCGCAAGCGTAAAATGCTATGTCACAGCCATTTTTAGACATTTTCCTCTCCCTTCTGGGGCTCCTCAGAGAATTCTTCCCTGACCATCCTATCTAAACATACCTTCCCCCAGCCCTGTTCTCTGTAAGCCCCTGGTTTGTCTCTTTTATAACACTCTGATGACTTGTAGTTATCTAATTATTTCACTTGCCCGATAAGTTTTGGTCTGACTCCTTACAATGACCTAAGTTCCAGGCAGGGCAGGGAGCATCATTGACTCCCCGCTGACTCTCCAGTGGCTGCCATGACTCCCCGTGAGTGAATGCTCCACAGCAAGAATACTCAACCCAGGCAGACCCAACACTTCCTCGCTGGCAAGACATATATCATAATCTCGTTTACTATCTTGATGCGAAACTCATAGATTCCAGAAATTATCTATACCCATAATTTTTACAGAAAATGAATATAATGCTCTAACTATAATATCAAAGAATTGTAAGGAATTTGCAATAAAATAAGGCACTTTTTTTTTCCTGTTTCTGGTAATGAGAGTGTGTCTTGTATCAGACTAACCCTCTGCCGGATTTAGTCCTAAATTCTGGTTAGTGTCTTTATAACACACACACACACACACACACACACACACGCAAAGTGACAGCCCTGAACTACGTGGTCCCTGAATTCCTTCAGGTCTCCCTGAAAAGGTTACCAGAGAGGACTGTCCTGCCTGAGTCTCGTGTACAAATCTCACCCCACCCTACCCACCCCTCCGGCCTCAGCCTCCCCGCAGTGCTCGGTGCCACCCGATGTTCTCTGTGGTTTTTATTGTCTTGTCGTCTCCTCATACCAGGAAGCTCCATGAGGATGAGGCGTCTTTCTCTTTTGTTCACAGCTGCACCCTCAGCACCTAGATCAGTGCCTGAAAGGTAGGAAGTGCTCAGTAAATTTTCAATTAAAAAAAAAATTGAAACCTCCTTGTCCTCTCTTGCTCCATGATCCTCAGCAAGAAGGGCCTATGAGTTACTGGATTGCAGCATTTGTCAGAAACAGAAAGTCTCGTCAGCCCATCGCTGAGTCCAGCCATTCCCTCTGGCTGGTCTCTCACCTGTGTTCCTCTGTACTGGGAGGTCTCTTTTAGGGTGAAATGATGCCAGATGAAGAGACTCACCACCTGTAGTATTTTCCTGTCACATTCAGACTTTTAGAATACCCCTCCCGATCTGGCAATATGTACATGAAATGCTATTTTGTTCAGGTAGTGAGGCAGAAAGCCGAGAGGCGAGCAGTCTAAAGGTGGAATAGTAGATTCTGATCCAGGACTGATTGGCCTTTGACATCTCGGGGTCTTCGGGTGGTCACACTGCCAGTTGGGAGCAATGCATTATTAGTGGAAAGTCATGTTGGTGCTAATTCCTAAAAGAAGGGAATATGTTTACATTAGTTCAGATGCAGTCTTTATTTGCTATTTAATGCAACTTGATAAAGCATTTTGGGACAGGAAAGCACATAGTATAGGGACCGTAGTCTTTGAGCCTGCGCTATCAATGGAATAAGACATTTGGAAAATACTCCGTGTTGAACCTTTGGGGGATCGAAAGCAGAGGCATGAGGAAGAGAAGGAGCTGAACTGCAGACTGCCGTTACAGAGTAATGACAGTGAAGACGGCAGAGATGGAGTGGTGGCCGTGAGGTGGCCACAGTTTTTCCGTTTGCCTGTGAGCGGTACTTGGGAAACACCGACCAGCGACCCCGAAGTATTTAAGTAACAGATCATGTGTAATAAATTATGTTAGCTTACCAAAATGTAAGTCAGTTTCCTTCTTCCAAGTCGGGAAATGTCAAAGAAATGGCATTCAAGGCTGGTGACCAAGGGTTAGTAAGGCTTCAACACTGCTTGGCCTTGTTTCTCTTCTCTTCACTGGGTGACAGCCCATTTATGGAATCGTAGCTCTCCTGTCATGAGAAATGTGCTCCAGTGCTCATTCAAGGGGACCATCTTGCCTGTTAGGGAGACTCTTTTCCTATCTGGCAGTGGCTTGTTTATTGACCCTTCTTACTTCCTGTTTTTCCTAAGAGTTAAAGCCAGGGTGTCAGGTAATAAATACTTCATTGTAATGGTGGCTTCGATAAATGAATTTCATTTGCTTGCTACTTTCTCCACTCTTGTATTCATACAGATGTTGTTTCCAAAAATCCATGTACCAGTCCGTGTTATATGAATAATAAGCAATGTAAATTGCAAGAATGAAGGCCCAGAAAGATGTCATGTACCAGTGATGATCCTCCTGAGCTATGTTCTCTTAAGGCAATTAAATAAGTTCTCTTCGATCGATGGTTACCTTGGCCACTTTTTAACTGCCCAGGTATAGTTGAAAATTTCTTAATAAAACAAAACTGGTTAGTAGTCCAAATAAGTTATTTTAATGCGATAAGAATCTATAATTATAAAATTCTATTTTCAGAAAATATTTCCATCAGCCGAGGCGAAGAGAAGAGAACTGTGCCTTGCTTAGTCACTGGCATTAAGTAGCTGCACAGTAAAAATTTCTTGAATGCATAACTGGATGTTTAAGGAACAAACGTTGAGTAGTAAAAACAGCGAGCCTCTCCTTTTTCCTTCCCAAGTCTCTTCCTTCCTCTCCTCTCTGATCTCCGTAGCATGATTCTTAGGAGCAGAGGTGTCGGTAACGTGGGAACCGTGCATTAGAAGGGAGGAATCACCGGAAGAAGGTGATATAAGGCGAAAGGAATTATCAGTAGAGAACAGTGTCGATCCAGATGTCAAGGGCGTTCAGGTTTTGTAAATACGCACTACGTGCAAGGCAGTGTCTACTAGTGGCTCTTAAGTCTAAGATGTTAGGGAAAGTGAAAGTCTGTGTCTCTGTGGTTAAATGTTTGGTTGTCAGCATGCACAAAATAGATATGACAGCATATTTGAAACAGGAAGAAGCAGAAGAAAAACAAAGGTTCTGTGTGGAACCAAGAGGGTGGAGTCAACGAGCCTTGCTTGCAGAGCACATTTCTGTAGAAAATAAGTTGGCCTTTCAGTTGGTGAAATGACTTTTCATTTGGCTGTAATATTCCTCTGGGATGGCTCTGTGAATTCAATAAAACAGCTAAAGAAAAACCTATTCTGTTTGAGGGAATATATAATTAACCCATAGAAATTAGTGCCATCCAGTATATTACTGAGGAAAAGGATTAAATACCGGTATGAATAAAAATAGTATCTATTATTGTTCTCCCTGGGATAAAATTATAAGGACTGTCAATCATCCTGCCTAAGGGTCTAGTTTATTATTGGCTGGGTTGGGAACAGTACTTTTCTCTTCCTATTACATAATAGTCCACAATTAGATGAATAGTGGGATTTTTTTCCCCTTTTCTCAGAAGGGTCTGGTGTGAGGTGTTACAGGAACAGAAGAGGCAATTATAATTGTTTTGGAGCTGTGTTTGATATGTGTTTAAATGCTGTTAGAATGCTTTGTATACCTCTTAAAATATCTTTCCGGATATTACATGCTCCGTTGAGTTTAATATGCCTTTGACTTGAAACTAGACCCCTGGAACAGGACTGGGACACCTGGTTCTAGTTCTAGGTCTACCTTCGACTGCTGTGGTCATTTTAATGAATTAATTCATAAACATTGATTGCATTTCCTGCATGAAGTTCAGGCAAAACAGAAGGGAATAAAGCACGGGTAGGGCCCTGAAGGAGTCGGTTTAGTTGGAGGATCGTTCATACAAGCGTAATGATAATGTGCGTGGGCTATTTCGTGACAGAGAGGAGGAACCCAGACCATCCGTGGTGGGGGGCAGTGGCAAAGGCTTTCTGGAGGAGGCGGTAGCAGTCGCCACCCTGGGAGACTGAGGGCTTCGTGGGGCATTTGAGAGCTGTCCAGAGGCAATGGCACAGCCCTCATATAGGACCCGGTCTGCTCAGAGGAGTTACAGGTCCAGGAGGTGGTCCTGGGTGGGGAGGCAGGAGGTGAGGATGCAGGAATGAGATCTCTGGATCTGTTCTTGTTCCTGAAAATGAGGCCGTGTTAATACAAGAACACTTCTGAGGAACTCACTCATTTTCTTGAAAAATTTCACATTGCTGCTGTAAGGGAGGAAAAATTATGTTTTGTTTTGTTTTCTTTTCTTTCTTTCCTTTACCCATCTTAGGTTCATTGGCTGGGGCCCTGTAAATTAGACTGACAGTAGATAGATTAACAGGAGCAAAACAAACATAAGTTTATTAACTCATGCATGGCCCAGACATCTGTGATGAGTGACTCAATGGAGAGGTCAGAATTTGGGGTCTAGATACCTAGTTTAGTCGGGAAAGACAGGGAGAGAGGGGACTTTTGGAAAAGCAAATGACTTTTTGGAAAGATAAATGGGCCTTAGGAGACTAAGTGAGAGACGTGAGAGTTTGTGACAAAGTCTGCGGGGTATGCCGCTGACTTCTCAAAGGAGAGGTCAGAGTTGATCCCGGTGATGGCTTCATGACAACTGAGTCCTTCTGAGATGCTTTTAGGCAGGTGCAGGATTTCAGCAACTCAGATGCCTTCAGCTCAAAGTAATTTTTACGTCAAAGTGACATCTTTTGGTGTGTCATATCCGGATCCCCTTTGGCGCATCTTGGTTAATAACATACCAACCTGCCAGCCCGTTTTTTTTTTTTTAGGATGTTGAGGGCTGGAATTTACTGTCTGGAGTTGGGCAACATTTTGAACAAGGACATCCTGAATCAAGGCTGGCGTGACTCATGCCTTGCTGTGTAGGCCTCTGTTATATAGGTAGGTCTCTCTTTCTGCCCCTTCTTACTTAATCTGTCCTGAAATTTTTCTCCGCATCATGTCCTCTGGACTTAGATGTTCATTTCTATTTCCTCTTGCCCTTCCCCAGTTTCCACTGCTTTTGTGTGTAGATGTCCCCCACATTTGGCCAGACCTGCCCCATACAAAGGCATATCAAAGGTGTGTCTTTGATAGACGTGCTTTATATTTTCAAACATGTGTGTTAGTGAGAAAGAGACCTACGTAAGAAACCGAAGTGAGCGTATTTTTAAAGTTAAATAACTATGGATAAGGAATCTCTTAACCCGTTTTCGTAATTCTCTGGAAGAAACGAATCAGGTAGAACTTGAATAATGGGTGTGTGATCTTACTTTTTAGTTGTCTATATGAGTTTTAAAGTACACGTGGTGGTATAGTTACTCCGTTCAAAGACTGCAAATTGATGGAAGCACTGAGAAATGGTATAGATCATTGTAACGTTGGACAGGGA